AGCTCCCAAATAAAGCACACGGAAGCTTATGCTTATTTATAAATGCCTGGCCTTAGCTTGGCTTGTTTTTTGCCAGCTTTCCTTAACTTATCCTGTCTACCTTTTGCTTCTGGGCTTTTCCCATTCTCTTACTTCTGCAAATCTTACTCTTACTCCGTGGCTTGCTGTGTAGCTGGGTGGCTGGCCCCTGGAGTCCTCCTCCTCCTTCTCTCCTCCCAGACTTCTCCTTCTATTTATCCTCTCTGCCTGCCAGCCCCGCCTATTTCTCTCTCCTGCCTTGCTGTTGGCCATTCAGTTCTTTATTAGACCATCAGGTGTTTTAGACAAGCACACAGTTTAGACAAGTAACAAAGCTTCACAGAGTTAAACAAATGCAACAAAAACAAAAGTAACACACCTTAAAATAATATTCTGCAATGGCAGCCTGGAAGTCACCCTCCTCTGGCCTCTCTGGGTATCTGCATTCATGTACATATAACACACACACACATACACACAGATACACACAGACACACACAGACACAGACACAGACACACAGACACACAGACACACAGACACACACACACAAAATATCTTTTTTTAAAGGCCAGGTTGGTAGCACATTGTAGATGTAACCAACAGTCTTATTAAATAAGAAACACAGAGCCAATTCAGAGAAGAAAGCCAAGAGGTCAGAGCTAAGAACCTCACCCTTCCTGATTCAGGGATCCTCTTCAGCCAAGAGAGCTCTCCGAAAAAAAAAAAAGACCTACTTCCTGTGTGTCTGTCTTTATAGTCTTTCTGTTCTGCCTTCTCATTGGTTGTAAACCCAAACATGTGACTGCCTCGTCACTGCCTGTATGTACCGCCCTCCAGGTCCTTAAAGGCGTGTGCCACCGCGCCACGCACTTGCTATGGCTCTAATAGCTCTGACCCCCAGGCAACTTTATTTATTAACATACAATTAAAATCATATTTCAGTACAAGTAAAATACCACCACAGCACATGCCTTTGATCCCAGCACTTCCAGAGGCAGGTGGATCTCTGTGAATTTGAGGCCAGGTCAGCCTGGTCTACACAGTGAGGTTCAAACCAGCCAGGGCAAGAAACTAACAAACAAAAAAAAAAAAAAAGGAAAATAGGTTTTTCCATATCAGTTAACCTAGTCAGGATAACCTCTCACAGACATGCTCAGGCTCATCTCCCAGGTGATTCTGTGGTACTGACAGTTAACAAATCACCACACTGGACAAGAAGCAAAGAACAAGGGCTGTGTATATTTTTCAAAGGCCCATCCTTAGTGACCTACTTCCTCTGGCTATGCCCCATTTCCCAAAGTGTCCAGAACCTTCCAAGACAGCACCACCAACTAGGAACCAAGCATTTTGGTCAAGTTCAGATCCTACTGACCTCCATGTGGGACTCCCAGCTGGTTCGGCACAAGGTGAAACAAACCGACAAGAAATATGCAGGGGCTGAGGGAGCCTCAGAAAGTGCACACGCGAAAAGACTGTGTGTGTGTGTGTGTGTGTGTGTGTGTGTGTGTGTGTGTGTGTGTGTGTGGTTTTTCAAGACAGTTTCTCTGTGTAACTCTGGCTGTCCTGGAACTCGCTCTGCAGACTAGGCTGGCCTCGAACTCACAGAGATCTGCCTGCCTCTGCCTCCCGAGTGCTGGGATTAAAGGCGTGCGCCACCACTGCCTGGCATTGGAAAAATACTTTTTTGAAGTCTGTGCTCTGTTGTTGTTTTAATTACAAGCGTGTGTGTGTGTGTGTATGTGTGTGTGTGTGTTTACCGTGGAAGTAGAGCAAGAGCAGAGAGCTGAAGCTAAAGAAAGAAATCTGTTAAAAAAAAAAAAGACAAAACAGTGCCACCCTAGAGCTGGAGGGGCGGCCAGCAGTGAGGAGCACGGCTGCTCTTCCAGAGGACCTGAGTTCGGCTCCTGTAGTTGTTTTTTGTTGTTGTTGTTGTTTGTTTAAATTCACTGAGACTTATTCTTACTTGTGAATGCCCAGCCTTAGCTTGGCTTGTTTCTTGCCAGGTTTTCTAACTTAAATTATCTCATTTCTCGTTAGCTACCTTTTGCCTCTGGGCTTTTCCTCTTTCTCTCCTTCTTCCTCCACGGCTGGTTGTGTGGCTGGGTGGCTGGCCCCTGGGGTCCCTCCTCCCGTTCTCTCTTTTTTCTTCTCCTTCTTCTCCTTCAGCCTAGATTTCTCCTTATGTTTATCCTCTCTGCCTGCCAGCCCCGCCTCTCCTTTCTCCCGCCTCGCTATTGGCCGTTCAGCTCTTTATTAGACCCTCAGGTGTTTTAGACAGGCACAGTAACACAGCTTCCCAGAGTTAAACAAATGCAACGTAAAAGAATGTAACACGTCTTTGTATCATTAAACAAATGCTCCACAGCATAAAGGAATGTAACACATCTTAAGCTAATATTCCACAACACATTCCTAGTATCCACACCTGGCCCTTGACAACTGCCTGCCACTCCAGTTCCAGAGGATCCAACGCCCTCTTCTGGCCTCTTTGGGCACTTGCACACATGTGGTACATATACATACACTCAGGCACACACAGACATACACATTAAATAACAAATCTTTAAAACAAAACAGAACACAGGCACCAGTCACAGGAGGAGCTTCAGGGATCTGTCATGCCTTACGAGCCAAGGTCTCAGACGCTCCAGGCCAGAGAACAGCAACATTAGTGACATCGGGTACAAGGGGACACTGAGACGCACTGTTAGAGCTGAGTCGCTGACAGACAGACAGACAGACAGACAGCAAGATGGCACAGCAGCATGGTGACGGCTCTGAAGCGGGGGTTTCCTCTTATACGTTCCTGGGGATGGGGGAGGTTTCACAGCAAGAGCCTGTAGCCAGATTCTGATTCCCAGGCAGGAGGGAGGATAGGGTGGAGAGCAGGATGTATGGCGACCCACACCCACTCTGATGTAAACTCACTTCCCAAGTAAGAGATCCTGGCACCTGGAAGTGTGTTATCTAGGCACTCACAATGTCTCCACAGTGTGCCTGTCTGTATGTGTGGCTGTGGTGTGTGTGTTTGTGTGTGTGTGTGTGTGTGTGTGTATGTGTGTGACTGCTGCAGGTACCCAGCAGCCTGCAGCTGGATTCTAACACATCCCTAAGAGCTGAGGGCCCCACAACTTCAAGACCCATTCACAGATGACCGCCCCCCTTTCTGCTCGAAGCCAAAGATCACAAGAGCTGCCAAGTGTCAGGGGCTCTGCTGGTTAAAGTCCAGAGCAATAAGCCCCAGCACTGTCCACTGGCTTCTAAAACCTGGAGCTACATACCCCTAGTTTTCAGGGCTTAGAGTTCTGGGTCTATCAACACAAAAAGAACTTCTTCTTGCCTACCCACCGTTCCTGTCAACTAGTAGAGGAAAAGCCTAGCCAGAAAGCTAGCGATGACACCTTTAAGTAATTTATAAGACAAAATCCTCTAAAGGTAGCTTCAGGTCTCTTAGTTATTGTAGGAAAATGCCTGTTAGCTCTCATTTCAAAGCTGAAGGCCAAAGGCCTATGATCTTATCTCCATGCAAAACTTATTTGCTGTGGGCCATGGAAATGGTTCTGTTGGGAAAGTGCTTCTCACACAAGCATGAGGAACTGAGTCTGGATGCCCAGAGTCCACATAAAGAGCTGTGCATAGTGGGGCAGGCATTTGTAAGCCCAGTGCTGGAGAGGCAGAGACGGGGATTCCTGGGCTCACTGGTCAGGCAGACTATTTGGTGAGCTCCAGGTTGGAGGGTTAATTACCTAAAAAGCCTCAGGTGGACTGAAAAGCTCTGGACAGGAACGTTGACTTGACTGATAAGGAGATCCACACACCAAACCCACCAGCATCCACCACTGTGACACCGTAGGGAACCGACCTGTGGATGGAATCCCTAAGATCTCCTGTAAAACCGTAATGGCCCCGTGCCATCCCCACAGTCCCACTTTCAAGGAGCGACTGTGTCCAGCTGTTCTGATGAAAGGACGCTTAGGCCTGTCGCCTCGATCAAACTCTGACACAGGTTCAGTGAGAGAGCCCGGTATGGTGACGCACACCCTTAATCCCAGCACTGGGGAAGCAGAGGCAGGCGGATCTCTGTGAGTTCGAGGCCAGCCTGGCATCCCGGGCCGGACAGGACTTCATAGTGGACCCTCTCAAAAGTAAAGAGGGACTGAAGAAACCCAAGGCTGACCTCTAGCTTCCACAGGCACGCACACACATATGCGCCACACACACATACACTCTAACTTAAAATAATAAATTATTTTATTACGTTTTATTTATTTTGTGTGTGTGCACACCACACGGTGTATGTATGGAGGTCAGAGAATAACTTGCAGTAGTCCAGCGCTCGCCTTTGACCCTATGGCACCCGAGGATCGAACTCACGTTATCACGCTTGGCAGCAAGCACCTGTACCTGCTGAGCCATCTTGCAGGTCTGTAAAAATAATCTTTTAAAAATCTGATAAATGAAACGGGCGGTGGTGGCGCAGACCTATAATCCCAGCACTCGGGAGGCAGAGGCAGGTGGATCTCTGTGAGTTCGAGGCCAGTCTGGTCTACAGAGTGAGATCCAGGACAGGCTCCAAAGCTACACAGAGAAACCCTGTCTCGAAAAACCAAAAAATAAAAAATAAAAAAAAAATTGAAAAAAATATCTGATAAATGGAGAGACCCTTCTTCCAGAATCGGGTCGCGCCCCGCCCTCCTCGCGTCGCCCCGCCCCCTTGCGGAGCAGCGTGCGCTCACTGGCCCGTGCGGCCCTCTCTCTCCGCCCTTGGCCCCGCTCGGCCCCGCCTCCTTGCGGAGGGCGGCTACTGCGCAGACGCAATGGCGCCCCCTCCCCAATGGAGCCGCTCCCGGTCCTCCGGATCACCGAGCCGGCTTCCTAGAGCAGCCCCTGCGGGGGGCGCCAACCCGGAAGTTCGGGCTCCCAGAGGGGCCCCAAGCGTGCTTCCGGTAACGCCCGCCTAACTCCTGCCCTGAGGCTGTCCTCAGGTGGCTGTCATTTCCCCGAGAAGACGAACCGGGCACAGTGGCTGTGGCATGGAGGGTTGCAGGGCCGCGTGGTGCGGGACGGACCCCAGAGTGCCTGCGGAGAACAGCCCCGGGCCGAGCCCTGGCGCGGCGCAGGATGGAGGACTCCGGGTGATAGATCGCTCCGGATAAAACGGCGGGAGGCTGTCCTGGGATCACCCTCGGGTGCAGGGTCCGTGGATGCCCGCAGATGAGACCGCGTGGGTAAGTGGGGTCGATCCCGAGGGCTGAGACGTTCAAGCACTGTCTGGAGTAGCCTCTTAGGTATTTCTTTCTTTATTTTTGAGACAAGGTCTTGCCCTGTAGCCCAGCCAGCCTGGAACTGAAGAATGCCCCTGCCTCAGCCTCCCAATTGCTGTGGTCATAGGCATGCACCACCACCACTCTTGGCTGTGGATGGTGTTTTCATAAGGACATGAGTGCTCCTAATGTTGACCATGAAATGCAGGGGTGCCAGGCTGGGCTGGACTGTGTGGACGGGCTGGAAGCAGGACCGGTCTGATTATGTAATGTGTGCATTCGTTAGCTGTCCGGGCTCTTCCACTACGGTGTAACTTCCGTGAGAACCAGGGTTCTGTTCTCCCACCTAGCATTGAGAAGAATGCCTGGCATGTAGTAGCTGCTTAAGAAATAGTGTGTGAGTGGATTTACTCTCGATAATACACCTTAAATTACCGCACAGCCAGTGCAACTAAGAAGTGGAGGGAAAGTAACTGAAGGTTGGAAGAGCATCAGAAGCGGAGCCTTGGTCAGGAGGGTTTGCTGGGCACTCCTGAGCAAGCCCCTGCCAACAGGCTCCGATGGGCTCGAGGGAGCCCTCTCTGCCCACACCCATGCCAGAGTTGGAAACTGTTTTGGTTTTCTTTGAATATTCCCATCTACAGGTCCGAAGCCAATATGCTCGTGTTGTTTAAGGCCTCTGTAGCATCGTTTAATAAAACCGGACCCTGTGGTTTCCCTCTGAGGTGATACAAGATGGATATCTTCGAGCCTGCCTTTTCCGCTGCTTCCCCTTTCGTTGAACGTTTTCCCAGAGCATGTTCCCTAGCCACATTATATTGTGTTACTGTATATTAACTTTCTAGAAGGTTAATAATGAAGATGGGCACGCCAATAATCCCAACTTGGAAAGGGGAGGCAGTACAAGCAGGACTTCAAAGCTAACCTGGGCTATTGGGACCCTGCCTCCGTGTGTGTGTGTGTGTGTGTGTGTGTGTGTGTGTGTGTGTGTACTTACATATACATGGGAGGCAGGTGAAATGTCTCTGTCCATAAAGGCACTTCCTGTCAAACCTGATGACCTGAGTTTAGATCCTCAGCACCCACATAAAATCCAGATGTGAATGGGCACATCTGTGGGGAGAGCAGGAGAGATGGGTGGGTCCAGGCAAACTAGCCAGTCTAGTGGGTTCCCCTGGGTTCAGTGAGGGAGACCTGGTCTAGTAAGGTAAGGCTGGGGGGCAATAGTGGAAGAGATTGGATGTCAGCTTCTGCCTCCACATGTGCGTGCGCGCGTGCGCGCACACACACATGCAGACACACACATAATAATTTTTAAAATGAGGGGATGGAGAGTTGGCTCGTAGGTTAAGAGCACTTGTTGCTCTTGCAGAAGACCCAAGTTCAATTCCCAGCACCCAACATAGTGATCCACAACCATCCAGAACTCTAGTTCCAAGGGATCCAACACTCTGTTCTGACCTCCGGGGCATCAGGCCTGTATGTGGTACACATACATACATGCAGGCAAAACACCCATACACAGAAAATGAAAAATAATTGTTTTTAAAGTTATTAATGGCAAGAATCTGTTTCCTCAGTAATTATGACTTGAGTGCCTACTAGGTTCAGTGCTGAACTGGGCTCAGTAAGAGCAGACAGACGTAGATCCTGCCCTTTTGTACCTCCCAGGCCAAGGCAGGAGACCAGGATTCATCCCATCATCAACCCAGGTGGCTGATTACACACTGAAAAATAGCACAGAGCAAACAGAGCCACTAGCGATGAGAATGAAATCAGATTTACGGTTTCAAGAGAACTGGGGGAGAAGGTGCCGGCGATTGCTTCACCCATTTGGGGTTTCGAATTAACCTGCACCGTGCCTTCCTACTTCCCCTGCTGATCAAGGTGGAGCCCTAGTTAGCGGCAGTGAGCAAGTCATCACAAACTTAGGGACTGGCGAGACGGCTCAGCGGTGTGCGGGTTAGCTCTTTGCCACCTTGACACAAGCCAGGGTCATCTGGGAAAATGGCTCCATCAGGTTGGCATGTAGGAAGTCTGTGGGGCATCTTCTTGGACTTTGAGGTGGAGGGCCCAGCTCGCTGTGGGTGGTGCCATCCCTAGGCTGGTGGTCTTGGGTTCTGTAAGGGAGCAGGCTGAGCAGGCCACGGGGAGCAAGCCAGTGGGCAGCACCCCTCCCTGGCCTCTGCATCAGCTCCTGCCTGCAGGTTTCTACCCTGCTTTCCTCCAGAAATGGGCAGTGTTTGGGGTGGATAAGTCAAGTAAACCCGTCCTCCCTAAATTGCTTCTGGTCCTAGTCAGCAACCTAACTGGGGCAGGCGGGTCAAGGTGCTCACCACGGAGCCTGGCAGCTTGCATTGGATCCCCGAGACCACATGGTGGAAGGAGAGAGCTGGGTCTGCAGGTTTTCCTCTGACCTCCATGTGGACATCATCATCATCATCATCATCATCACACACACACACACACACACACACACACTTGCCGGCCATGGTGGCATAATCCTTTCATCCCAGGGAGGCAAAGGCGGGTGGATCTCTGTGAATTCGAGACCAACCTGGACTACATTGCAAGTTCTAGGGCAGCCAGGGTTACACAGTGAGACCCTGTCTGGAAAAGAAAAAAAAAAAATAGAGACTGAGGCCTACGTTTAGTTATAGAGGAGTAATTGAGCTGTACATGAGGATCTATGCAGACTCTCCCTCCTGTTTGGCCATAAGCACAGCCCGTTCTGTCTTTCCTCATCTGACGTGGCGGCGGGAACCTGGTGTGGAATTGAAGGCAGCTTCAGTTCAAAGCAAGTAGAAAAGGGTTCTGTGGGGGACTGGGGGGGGGGTGCGTGTAGCTCAGTCCTTAGAGTCCTAACTTAACATGCGTGAAATCCTGAGCTCACTGCCCAGCACCACATAAACCAAGTGTTAGTACCGCAATCCCAGTACTCGAGAGGTGGGGGCAGGAAGATCAGGCGTTCAGGGTTATCCTCAGCTACTTAGTGAGTCTGAGGCCAGCCTGAGCTAGAGACTGGGAAGGGAGGGAAAAAGGAAGGGAAATGGAGTAAGATAACGAAGACCTCCTTTGAGGCAGGACTGAGTTTAAAACTCCCAGGTCTGGGGCTGGAGAGATGCCCAGTAGGTAAAGAACTTGCTGAACAGGCCTGATGCCTGAGTTTGAGCCCCCTCCACCACGGAAAGGTGGAAGGAGAGAGCCAGCTTCACACACACGTCCTCTGATCTCCGTAACTGTGTTACGGCCCTTGTCATGTGCACTAAACACACACAGGAGAACAGTAACTTTCGAGAACCCGTTCCCTATGGCTCAAGAGGCCTACCCCAAGGAGGAGTTGAATGGGTGTCGGTCTGCCAAGGCAAAGACTTGTTTGTCAGCCTGGTCTCACAATTTCACCAACTCCCTGCTGGTCAGACTTCAAGTCCTTGTTTTTGTTCAGTGCCAGGGCCAGAGCCCAGACAGCTGCAAATGCTAAGGATAGAACCCAGACAGTTGCAAATGTTAGGCAGGTGCTCTACCATGAGCCACACCCCAGCCCCTCACTGGGGGATTCTAGGCAGGTGCTCTACCATGAGCCACACCCCAGCCCCTCACTGGGGGATTCTAGGCAGGTGCTCTACCACTGAGCCACACCCCAGCCCCTCACTGGGGGATTCTAGGCAGGTGCTCTACCACTGAGCCACACCCCAGCCCCTCACTGGGGGATTCTAGGTAGGTGCTCTACCACTGAGCCACACCCCATCCCCTCACTGGGGGTTCTAGGCAGGTGCTCTATGACCAAGTTATGGTCCTCTGGCTTTTTATTTGTTTTTGAGATAAGATCTTTCCATCTAGCTCTAGCTGGCCTGGAACTCACTGCATTCACCAGGCTGGCCTCAAGCTCATAGAGATCCTCCTACCTCTGCCTCTCCAGTGTTGGAATTAAAGACATGCCCCACCATATCTGACTTTAGTTGTTTTTGTTTATTGTTTACTTTTGTGGTTATTTTATTTGGGGCAGGAGAAATGACTCTGTTGCAGAATTTTTCTCTTTTTTTTTTTTTTTTTAAAGATTTATTTATTATGTATACAGCATGTGTGCCTGCAGGCCAGAAGAGGGCACCAGATCTCGTTACAGATGGTTGTGAGCCACCATGTGGTTGCTGGGAATTGAACTCAGGACCTCTGGAAGAGCAGTCAGTGCTCTTAACCTCTGAGCCATCTCTCCAGCCCCAGAATTTTTCTCTTTTTGGGGGGGCCTGCCACCCAGCTACCAAATAAATTACACATGGAGGCTTATGAATGCCCAGCCTTGGCTTGGCTTAGTTTCTAGCCAGCTTTCCTTAACTTATCCTGTCTACCTTTTGCCTCTGGGTTTTTCCTGTTCTCTTACTTCTGTAAATCTTACTCTTACTCTGTGGCTGGCTGTGTGTGTAGCTGGGTGGCTGAACCCTGGGTCCTCCTTCTCCTTCTCTGGCTGCGAGCCCTTTCCCTCCCAGATTTCTCTTTCTGTTTATCCTCTCTGCCTGCCAGCCCCGTCTATCCTTTCTCCTGCCTCGTTATTGGCCGTTCAGCTCTTTATTAGACCATCGGGTGTTTTAGACAGGCACAGTAACACAGCTTCCCAGAGTTAAACAAATGCAGCATAAGCAAAAGTAACACACCTTAAAATAATATTCTACTACATGGCTCTACACTTAAGATCACTTGCTGCTCTTACAGAGGACCTGGGTTCAGTTCACATCACCCACATGGTAGCTCACAACCATCCATAACTCCAGTTTTGAGGGATCTGATCCCCCTTTCTGACTTTTGAAGGCACTGGACACACACAGTACACATATATACATCCAAACAGTACATTCATACATATAAAATAAATTAATTAAAAATATTTTATTTTTATTATGTGTGTGTGAGTGAGTGTGTGCTGTGCACATGAGTGCAGGTGTCCTTGGAGACCAGAAGGGTATGTCACA